TTGATTGACATTTGATCTGTCTGATCTGTTTGTTCACTTTGATCTGATCTCAGCTGATCTGATCAGGGTGTTGATCTTTATTGATTGATCGAAGTATGGTTATATGGTGGTTGGTAGGTAGCTACTGCTGGTGTGAGAAGAGGATTGAACAGTGCAGTTACGCGATTAGGATGTGATTTGTATCTGATCGTGAATAATTTATCTTAATCCGTTGCCCTTTCCCAGAACTTCAGTCTAATCGTCTAATCTCTTTAATAGAGATAAATTCGGATATCCGATTCGGATAATCCATCCAGTCAGTTAAATGAGACTGATTTCTGAAGTTTTAAAGTAATTTTTCAAATTTGGATTGATAGATTGGGAGAGTCCATTGGGGATTTGGTAGTAGAGGTTAGTCATGATGTACTCTCAGATCAGATGGATGGATGGATATAGATGGGTGGATATCGTATATCCGTCTCAAATTACTGCATTTATTTATATTGCTATTGCAGTTATATCATATATGTATGTGTGTATATGTCGCTGATTGTTTATAGAAAGGATTACTTTAATAGAACTGAACTTAAGGGTAGAAGTAGCATATGAGTATATATACAGTTCACATGATCTACTGTGAAGTGATTACTTTAGCTAGATTAAGTGGGGATTATTGTATGTTTTTTGTGGTGAGTCTAGAGTTTGGGGTGTTTATTTGAGATTTGAGAATTAGAGAGAGGGCCGTGAGCTTTTAGAGAGGGCGGTGATATATAGCTGCAACACATGCATGCACATGCACCATGTGGTTGTTTGATGTTGTCCTTGATAGTAGTAGCTTGATTTGTGGCAAATGATGCGAACGAATATAGTGCTGCAATAGAGGTGGTAATGCTGCTGCTGGTCAATCTGGACAGACAGACATAGCGTATCGTTGTTAAGTGGACATTTTATACGGTTCATTGTATCATGTCTTTTACTGGTTTGTGTTGATCATGTTCTGATCATTTTGATCACTCTCTGATCACCGATCATGATCATTGCAATCACATAATTGTGTATTGTTTTTGTTGTTGTTGTTATCTTGTACTACAAATTGATCGAGTATTGTAGCTTAATAGTATCATATTAATGTCGTATATTGCAGCTAAATATCTCATAGACGACATACGACATTGTCATTGATGTGTGTTGTAGTGATTGCGTTAGGCATGTTCTAATTGTAAGGGCAGATGCATGAGCGAGTGAGTCGTTGTATATTTGGATGATAGTATTATTATATGAAACAGCTGCATGCTATTAATATCGTTATTATTCGTCTAGAATGTGAGTAGAAGGACAGAGGGAGGAGGCAATAGAAGGAGATTTTGAGTTGTCTTTTGATTTGATTTGAAATTTCTTGATTTCCTCTCGATTTGATTCAGTTTTATTTGACATTTGGGTTTAGGCTTTAGGCATTTGGGTTTGCTGTTGGTTGTTAAATTGGTTGATACGAGCTGAGTCGTTTATTTATTTGCTTGAAAAATTTTTCAGTCTAATCGCGATTATGTTATGGATATGTATGTATGTATGTGTGTGTTTTGTATGTTGTATTGTTAGATAGCTGCATTGTTTTGGATAGTGTATTGTAAGAGGGCTGCAACAGACGGAGTCAGCATAGCGCAGAGGGAACACGCCAGCCGTTCAGTTGGTAGGTGGACGGGTTCAATTCCGGTCAGCGACGGAAGTTTTTTGTTTTCAAAACAGTGATGGAATGTGTATTGACTGATCAAAATCGATTGATCAAAGTGATCAAAGTCGATTTATCAAAGTGATCGAACTGATCAAGATTGATTTACGTATGTATGATCACATTTTCGTGTTATCGCTGTTGTTCTGTTTCTGCTCTGTTGGTAGTAGGTAGTCTGAGGCTTATATATGAGGTGATATAAGGAGATATACGGGGATATAATGAGATTTAACGAGATTTAAAATAATATTAATGTATAATTTCAGGGAATGCGTCTGCAGGGACGTCCACTCTATCACACGATCGCAACCACACCGAGTAGCAGTAATATTAACAATAACAATAATAGTGGTCCAGTACCTCAGTTAACGCTAAGCGATGACGGGGAAACGTTATGCGTAAGGAATGGGATGCAACGCTCCTCGTTGAGACTCATTCAGCCATCTCAACCGCCGCTTAATCAAGCTCCGCAAAAACACGATACGGAATGCCAAGCTGGACCGGGTAGGTGACTGATCAACGTATTGATTGATCAGATTGATCGGAATTGACTGATTGAACTGAANGGGGTACAACGCTCCTCGTTGAGACTCATTCAGCCATCTCAACCGCCGCTTAATCAAGCTCCGCAAAAACACGATACGGAATGCCAAGCTGGACCGGGTAAGTGACTAATCAAAGTATTGATTGATCAGATTGATCGGAATTGACTGATCAAATTCTGAAGTGTTGATTGATCAAATTGATTACAGGCTTCAACGCAATGTCGACTGGATATCACTCGCTGGACCGGAAGGCGCATCTAATGGGATACTACAGATCACCAATTGAGGATAATCCGTACAGGTACGTAACATTAATCTATTTATCATTATTATTAATTATATATTTATTATTATTATATATTTATTATTATTATATATTGTCTATAATGAATATTCTATGTATATTATTAAATTCAGGTTGACCGCCCTGGGACAGCAGCAGACGTCTGCGGCGACGCTGGCTATGGTCAGTCCGAGACATATCCCTCCTGGGTATCCACAGGATCAATTGGGTACTCAAAATAGACACAGTATTACTGGTGATTAATTACTGTTATTAATTAATGAGTTTTAATTAATTATACTTAATTATACTCTAAAATATTTAAGTAAGTTTTTTGAGTGTATTGTGAAAAAAGTTTTAAAAAAAGCAGAATTTTTTAAGGATTATAAGGGGAAATAAAGTGTAGTCATTACTGGTTTGATTAATATGTAAATGAGCAGGTGTTATTTTGGGTGTTGTGGGAGGTTTAGAGGGTAGTTATTGTATTGGTATTATATTTATTATTATTATTGTTTATATAATATTATTATATTTATTATTATTATATATAATATTGTTATATTTATTATTATTCATTATATTCGTATTATATTTATTATTATCGATTGTGCTGAAGTATTTTATATGAAATGACGCTGCTTAATTTAGCTTTTTTTCGCTTTATACAGTTGATATGGTGGTGGTGACTAGATTGGTGATGATATGTAGCTGCAGCAGCTGGGCTGGCTTTTTGCTTATTAGATAGAGTGCTGCGATAGATGGAGTGCAACGTTCAAATTGCTTTCGTAGTGTGTGTTAATTCTTCACCGATATTTGGATAGTTCTCTGTCCATGATTTCTATCTCTGTGCTCTCCGTTTTTCTCACACTATCTATCCCTCAATCACATTCATTTAACCTTTAATCTCCTGCTGTCACGTTATGATTTCACTGTTTCACTTGCGTGAACTTTCTGCATTTTTCATTTTAGTTTTTTTTTTTTATTTTCTGGTTTGCGTAGCTGGTAGAAGAATAGTTTTTTGCAGGGTAGTTGAATGTTTCAGGCTTTAATTTTTTATAT